AGCAATGAATATCTTAAGTGCTTTGACAAAAAATCCATCTGTGGAAGCCGTAATACTGTAAAAAGCACGACCAATCATTTTAGCCAGCCCGGCTAAAATAACTGGATGGCCTACCTGCCTGTCAGCCTTCCATCTGTGCACAAACTTATCTCGTGCCCTCATTGGTCATGTGCGCGTTCGTGTGTGTTGGAGGAGGGGCTCTGTAAGGAAGTGGCAGATTTTCTCCGGTTGTGTATTTTCAAATTCTAGCGATCTCGAGCCGGTTTCTCAAACTTACCTACCCCACCTTTAACTGATGGAACAAGAGAACAAATATTTTAGCACATCTTATTTACCAAACTGTTTTCCCCAAAACTTTTTTATTTTCCAAATTGTGTTATATCTTGTACTATTTTAAAATATAGTAGTATGCTAATACTCAACACTGAATATATAATTTATCATTATGTTTCCTATAACAATGTACAGAATAATTATTAAAAAATGACTTATATTTGTGCATTTACATCCATTTGCTCTGTAGCTGTGCATGAGCTGTGTGTTTGGGGATTTCAATCTTGCAACCCTTATGTCTGGTGCACAGGTACAAATCAAATCGGATGACAATATTTATGGCCTTATTTGTGATAACTCATAATCATATTATTTTCTGTTTTTTTACCTTTCTATTTACTCTCCCTTTTCTATCTAAACCTTTATTCCCTCCCAAACCTCAACCCTGCTCTTTTCCCATGAATCACTCAAGGTCTCTTGAAAGGTAGGAAATACTAAATATTGACACGTTGAATGCATGGGTTGTTATTTATTCATTTGTAAATGCAGTGTGTACTCTACAGCCTTACAAGTAGTTTATTTATAGCAGAATATTTGAACTGTTTCAATCATGTTATGAGTGGATCACATCAGTCCGGTTCTGAAGTCTTTACACTGGCTTCCAGTCGACCAAAGAATTGATTTTAAAATACTATTGCTAGTTTTTAAATCACTAAATGGCTTAGGACCGAGGTATATAAACGATCTCCTGCATAACTATGAACCATCCAGGGGTCTCAGGTCCTCTGGGTCGGGTCTGCTCTCTGTTCCAAGAATAAGAACTAAACATGGAAAAGCAGTGTTTAGCTATTGTGCCCCGACAATCTGGAACAAACTGCCCGAATCATGCACGTCCGCTGAAACACTTCCTATTTTCAAATCCAGACTAAAAACATATCTATTTGCCGCTGCTTTTAATTGAGCTGTTCATACTCACACTGCAGTATGCCTTTTATTCATGTATTCTGTACCGGCTGTGTTTATTTATTTATTTCATTATCTTTGCTTTTTTATGCCTGTTTTTAAATGCCATTTAATAATGTGTTTATGCTGTATTTATTCTTGAATGTCTTTTGTTTTTATTTTGTAAAGCACTTTGAATTGTCGCGTGCTGAAAGGTGCTATATAAATAAAATTGCCTTGCCTTGCCTTGCCTTGGATGATCAATGATATGAGATAAAGTAATTATTAACAAATAATGATCTAATACAATCTCTCTTCATATTTTAGGATAGCACGTATCTCCACTCTTCCTTACCCCCGACGGTACGTACAGTACATTAAAATGTTTAATGTTTTTAAATGTTAGGGTTTATCCTTTCTGTCTTCCTGTGCTGACATAATGCACTAAGATTAGGGTCGGTGTGATATGGAAAAATGATAATGATATTGTTGACCCAACACCTCAATATTGGTATTGTGAGAATTTTATATGGGTTGCTTTTCCCAAATATTTTCTAAATAATAGTCGTTATAGATTTAGATAATATTAATTACAAAATTCAAATGAAAGAGCAGCTGGACAGTCTGATAGGTTCAAAATGTAACATCTATTGACTGAAATGCAATTTAAACCCAGGGGGAAACACTTATGCCATATTAAGATATCAAAAATCTTAAAATATGTGCAACTCCGCTTGTTTGGCGGAAGTGTACAAATGCGAGGAGGTAATTCTAGTTTGCATTGTTTTGTAGAGAGGAGGAAAGAGGGCTTCAAAGAGGCCAGCCGTCTATAGAAGCGATAATGAAGCGATCAGACAGTGATGACAGTTTGGTGGAGTACGGCGACGGAGGCGAGATACAGTTCGACGAGGACGGCTCTTTCATCGGCCAGTACACAGGAACCAGGAGAGATGTCAGGGAGTTGGACTTTGGAGGAAGTCTGGAGCTCCACTCTCCGATGAATACCATCTACTCCCTGGCGTAAAACTCAAAGTCGAACTACCTTTCTCTTTTTCAGAAGACTTTGCCGTGTTTGTACCAGCCACCTTTAATTAAAACGTTGGGGTGCTTGTTGTTTGTCAGCAGGAGGGAACAGCTGGAGCCTGAGGTGCTGTAACCCTCAGACAGAGCGACTTTCATGCATTTAAAAAAAGAAAATGGTGGAATATTTGGGACAAAACTAGAGATGAGATCCTTATTCATCTGATGGAACGCAAGCTATATGTTTTGTGATTCATTTCTTGTAAATACAACAGCTGTGTGTTGTGTGCATACGCATGAGTTCATGTTCAGTTATCCTCACAATGGAGAAACACTGGCTGCACATCAGAGAAGACAGAAGTGGATCAATTTATCATGTTGATAAAAGACGTTGCCGAGACCAACTTAACTATTTTTATTGCATATTTTTCTTCAAGCTAATTTCAATAATGACATTTGTGTGTTTGAAATAGGGGCAGCAAACCATATTTTAACAATCATAGTGGATTTGGATTGCATACTTATTTTGTATGCATTAGTTTATGGTGTAATGTGAGAGTATAAAGGTGTGGTCGGTGATAGGTGAAGGACATGTCCAGGAATCATCTGCCACTTGTGCTCTGCTCGAGGGCAAGAGGTAAAACCAATATCAGGAATCAGCAAGCAGCCATAAACCAGCGCTAAAATCAGCAGTTGCTCTTGTTTCTCTTTGAACCTGCTTTAAACTCTAAATCATAATTTTTTATGTCATCATTTAGTTTATTTGACCCCTAACATCATCTATGTATTACTACAGTTATGTCCTATATGTAAATAAAGTGGAACATATTTATTTCTACCATGTTTGATATGACTCCTGATGCTAAATGCAGCTACTCTATAATAAACCTGATAAGGAGGTTATTCAATCTTCTTTAAATATAATAACTGGTTTTGAACTGTTTGCAGGTGTCTATGTGTAAACCCTCAGTTCATAACATTTGGTGAAATATCAGAATCCCTAATTTGATTAAAAGGTCCCCTATTATACTGTTTTTCATCAATATATTATAGGTCTCAGATATATACAAAACATTTCTCTGAAGTGTTTGACTCCAAATACCTTACCTTGGTTGGTGATTGACTAATGGTTACACAAGCCAAAAAATCGTTATGAAATCATAAAGTGGCCAAAATCTGATCAGCTCATTTTCAGACAGGTTTTTATATAAATGGATCAGGACAAAAAGTGAGTGAATCTTTTTTCCTGAAACTTTCAGAATCTCTTTACACGGAGGGGACACATGTTTATGTATACAATTCATGAAAAAGTTGATTTTGCATAATTGGTGACCTTTAAAAGTTCAAATGAATAGTTACAGGAAATATACCACACTTATGTCACTGCCAACTTATCTTAGCATCAAGACTATAAACAGAGAGTCCGCTAGCCTGGCTTGTCCAAAGGTAACACTTCCCATTATGTATTTTATGACAATTATTACTGTTTTACAAGGGGATACAGGGTCCGGACTATTTATTGGCCAACTGCTGTTGTTTCGCTCTGTTTGCAGTGTTTGGGCTAAGCTAAGCTCAGTAGCTGCGGCTGTAGTTGCATACTTAACATACAGATGTGAGTTGATGTTTCTCATCTATATCTCTCGTTCTTAGAGGGAAATAAGCTTATTATTCCAAATGTCTCTCAGACTGTTGCTGCATGAATTTGTCTTGCATACAATACACTGTAAAGCCACACCTAGAAAAAAAATCTATCTTTCAATCTTTTTGAACTCTGGTCATTTTGCTGAGATAACCTGCAGTTACGTCATCAGAGATCATATAGTTTAATCGTAAAGGACATCTTATCAAACAACCATTGAGGTTTATTAGGCCTCTGATATGATACTTTAGCCCCTGATATTGAGTTTTTATTATTGCAAACCCTCTGATTAGAGGAGGGAACGACCGAATCCTAAAGTACAGATTAACATGCAAGGCTTTTCCTTTGCGTTTCTAGTTAATGCAAAGTAAAGGAGGTTTAGACAGCAAACGGTTCTATTCATGACTAAGAATACAAATATGCACGGAAACAGTATCTAAACATCATGCTTTTAGATTGTGCAATGATCAGCCTAGGTATATATCAAATAGTCCTGTAACTGATACTGAAAGGTCTTGTAATGCACTGTTACCAAAAAGTGCTATCGTTTTTCAATCTTGTAATTGAAATGTAAAACTGTTGCTGGTAACCACTTAAAAATGTGAGCATTTGCTGATTTCCTCACTGTGGATTTCACAAAACAAACATGTAAAGACAAAACTTAGAGCTATGGAAGAAAAAAAAGATTGGCCATGTTAAAAAGAAGTTTGACATTTCATGGATGAACTGATTGATTAATTCAGCAAATCATCAGGTTAACAATCTAAGACAAACAAGAGCAATTTACATCCATAATTACCCTTTGAAACCATTGTAATCCTGAAGTCATATAAAATACAACGCATCAGTTTATACTTTTATCAAGTTCATCTTATCTGCATGAATTGGTCAGCTGTCCTGATCTGAGACACTTTACAGAGGCAAGTTTAACTTTAATGCTCTGATCTCGAGTTATCAGACAATAAAAATTGATATGACATTCAAGTCAAGTCACGGAAAGCGGCTCTTTGCAGTCTAATATGAATTTTACAGTGACAATTATTGTCTCTCAGGAGTATTCATGTCACCTCACTGTCACGTAGCCTTTGTCCCTTTCTTATCACGTCTATAAAAAGGACTTCCAGGAGGATCCAAGGAACATTCAGCCGATCGACTGTGAACCGGTAAGTCAGGAGCACACAGAGATTTTAATAAACTACATTTACAGTTTAACGTGTTCAATTGTCAATGTTTACATTTGATTTAACTAGTGCTTGTTTAAATGTATGTTTTGTTTATTGAACTCCACCTGGGGAATGATTGCAACATTTCTTTTTACCCGAGTATTACAATAAAGATAATTCTTCTGAATACATGTTTTGCTATGTGCGGAAAATACCTCCTACAGTAGTAATGACTTTATATGGTTAACTAGATATAGTTGGCAACTATAATGCAAAATTCATAAAACACAATTATTTTTTAATTGTTTCAGCTCTGTGAAATAGGCTCAGCGGACACAACATGGCTCGTCTAACAATCTTAGCCGGTAAGTTTTATTATTTCAATTTTGTATTAATTTAAAGACAGTGATTGTGTGCAGAACATTTTGGAGAAATAAAACCTTTTTTTTTCCTTTTAGGGTTGTCCCTTTTGATGTGTCTCCAGTTGGGTATGCATTCATTATATAACTCATATAACTTTATAATACATGTACATTCAGAGGTGGGAGAAGTACTGAGATATTATACTTGAGTTAAAGAAGTACCAGACTTTAGGAATACTCTGTTACAAGTAAAAGTCCTGCATTCAAAATGTTACTCAAGTAAAAGTACAGACATATTAGCATCTAAATATACTTAAAGTACCAAAAGTAAAAGTACTCATTATGCAGATTGGCCTGTTTCAGATTAATATATATTAAATGTTTTGATTATAATTATTGATGCATTAAAGTGTTATTAAAACTGGTAAAGGTGCAGCTGGATTTAATTATTTGTATGCTGCAGGGTAGCTTGTGAATGTCATTTCAGGTTTAAATAAAGTTAATTTAAGGGTTGATTATATTTCACACTATTAACCCAAATCTGTGAAGTAACTAAAGGTACAAAGTACATGTAGTGGAGTAAAACTACATGATTTACCTCTGAAATGTAGTGGAGTAATAGTTGCATAAAATGGAAATACTCAAGTAAAGTACATGTATATCCAAAATGCATTTAAGTTCAATACTTGAGTGAATGTACTTAGTTACTTCCCACCTCTGTGTACATTGCTTCTAAATAACTTATTCTAAATATATTCTCCTCTCTCTAATAGTGTCTTCAACCAAACTGGTGTGCTACTTCACCAACTGGTCCCAGTATAGACCAGGTGTCGGCAAATATTTGCCCGCCAATGTGGACCCCAACCTCTGCACACACTTGATTTACGCATTTTCAATCATCAGCCCTTCCAACGAACTGGCCCCCTATGAGTGGAATGATGATGTTCTCTACAGATCCTTCAATGAGCTGAAGAACAGGTGAGTTATTAATGCAGGACCAGTAATATATCCTGCAGTCTTATCAGCTGTTATTTAACAACAGCTAATCACATCGGCAGGTGGGTGGAAGTTACATGGTGTTTAGTGTGACTGGTTAAGTGGTATCCTTCAGTCTCCATATGACGAAATTGTCAAAGACTAATAAACGGTTAGATGTATTGCAGTGGTGAAACGTTAACTGAATGGACAGAAAGTAACAAGAAACACCTACAAACAAAAGAAGATAACAAAATAAAAATTGGCAATAGCAAATATAAATACTAAAAGCAAAGAAAGCGTTTTAAGGAGAAACTTGTAGCAAGTGAAGTATGAGATCATGAGTAAAAGGCATATTCCTGTACATGCACTTTTACATGTAATGCACATTGGGTTGTGTGAAATTATCATGGGCATTGTTTCATGTCATTAAGTATTTGTACATATAAAGAGTGCTTCTTTGACCTTATCAGCAAACGGAACGATCTTACCTCCTCTTTCACTAATACATTTTATCTTCATCTCTCACAGAAACCCTAGTCTGAAGACTCTGCTGGCTGTCGGCGGGTGGAACTTCGGATCATCACAGTGAGTTGTCGTAGCAACTTAAAATCAGCTGCTGTCTAGAGAAAATGATGAGTTAGGCAAATATGCAAAGAAAAACAATATCGATATAAAGCCACTCTTATAGGGACACATCAAAGGTCCTTTACATGACAACACAATAACATGTGATCCAGGATGGTCGCGCTATGGCAGTAGGCAAAACTCACAGCCTACAAAGCACAGTTGGGTGTCGTAGCTACTCCCCTAGAGCAAATGTCTTCCTTTGTCTTTCGTCCTTCCTGTAGTGTCATAAAACCCACATCTGTTATCAGACATACATTTACATGCCATTCCCAGGATACAGCAGTTACATTTAATTAGGATTACACTGTATTAAGCTTTAATACCACAATTGCCATAACAGAGTCCACGAGGAATCACAAAGCTGTGAAACTGCTTTATCTCATATAATAACAAGAACATCATGAACAGTGTTGCTATAAGTTCTTTTACATTTACAGATTTACCATCATGGTTTCATCCAAGCCCAACCGCCAGAAATTCATCCAGTCTTCTATCAGATTTTTGAGACTGCATGGCTTCGATGGGCTGGATCTGGACTGGGAGTATCCCGGAGCACGAGGCAGCCCTCCAGAGGACAAGAGGAGGTTCACAGTCCTCTGCCAGGTCAGTATGGAAGACCTCCCATAGCAGCACTAATGAAATAATCCCACACAGAGGTGGAAGAAGTACTCAGATCCTTGAGAATTTGTACTTGAGTTTATTACAAATTATATGGTCTGAAAATATCCATTACAAGTAAAAGTCCTGAATGCAAAATGTTACTTAAAGTAGGACTACAGAAGTGTTTTCAGCTCAATCAGCTTTCACAGTATTTCATTTGTATACAATATTAAATTATTCTGTTTTTATCACTAACACTAGCATTTTGGGGGATTTTAAGGTTGTAGTTTGTCAATATGGTGCCAATTTTAAAACACTGCACATTAGTAGTACAGCTGAATTATATCACATTGTGCATATCACGTACATGTCAAAAGTAACTGTTTAAGTGGAGTTAACGTACAATATTTGCCTATTAAATGTAATGGGATAGAAGTATAAAGTAGCAGAAAATGGAAATACTCAAGTAAAGTAGAATTATGTCAAAAATAGTAATTAAGTATGGTATTTGAGTAAATGTACTTAGTTGCATCCAGCACTGATCCTGTAGAATGAAACATCAAAATAGCACCCTGATTTAAGATACTACACTACAGCAATGTAATATTATATTGTACATTATCCTCAACTATTTAAATCTTGCTTTTAGGAATTACTCGCCGCCTATCGAAAGGAATCCACTGAAACCAGAAAACCACGGTTGCTGCTCACAGCTGCAGTGGCTGCTGGGAAGGCAAACATCGACAATGGATATCAGATTGCTAAAGTTTCAAAGTGAGTTCCAGTGACGGCGAGTCATTTAGCTTCAAAGTTGAAACCAAATAAATGGTTTATTTGTTGTACTATGTGACATCATGCTTGTGTTACAGGTTTTTGGACTTTATAAATGTCATGGCTTATGACTTCCACGGAGCATGGGACACGTTCACTGGTCACAACAGCCCTCTGTACCGTGGCTCTGCCGATCAGGGCGAAAACATCTACTACAATGTGGTGAGTAAACTCTTTGACAACATGAATGTGTCATCCTCACTAATCAGAAGCTGAATACTTATATGTCCTTGTCTTTTAACTATTAAAATGTTTTTGTCTCACAGGACTTTTCCATGAAATACTGGAGGGACCAAGGAGCTCCTCTTGAAAAGCTCTTAATCGGTTTCACTACATATGGACGCACATTTCGCACAACAACAGCAGGTAACGGTGTTGGAGCACCAGCCAGCGGAGCAGCCGCTGCCGGGCCCTACACCAGGGAAGCTGGGTTTTGGTCCAACTATGAGGTCAGTCAAAGTTCAATGAAGAGCAACACTGAAACACAATTTCATGATTAAATTAACTCAGTGCAGATTTAATTAGTACAAGCCCTCATGAATATATGTCTAAAAGCATGTGGAGGATGTTTAATTACCACTTCCTTCCATTTCTACAGATCTGCACTTTCCTCAATGGAGCCAGTGTCAAGTGGATTGATGATCAAATGGTGCCCTATGCCGTCAAAGAAAATGAGTGGGTTGGGTTCGAAAACAGAAGGAGCTATGAACTCAAGGTAATAAAAACATATCTTCCTCCACATCTCATTGAGATAATGAACAAGATAAAAGTAGCATATAGATATACCACTCTACCACTACTCTCCAGCTATGCACTACAGTAGGAACAGCTGATGACAATGAGCACAGCACAGACAGATGTTAATGCCTTATATTGAGCTGGAGGTGGCACTGTAACTGGAAACTATTTATTTTGGCAAACATTACAGGTTTCTTGCATTTTTGCTTCAGAGAAAAACACTACAAAGCAGATCAAGCTATAATTAACAGTACGGTAATCACAATTATCACGCAGTAAACTGTGTGTCCTCTGCAAGTCAATCTCTGCTCAGATACTAATATACAAGCAGGGTTACATTAAACAAGCTTTAATGGGGAAACAAGAGAAAATCTTGTACATTCAGTTAATTATCAAAAGATCTCGGATCATTTTTTTTTTGACATTGCCAGACAAATATATTGTAGTTCAAACATGTGGCTTCGTTAATTAAACCCTATTCTGGCATAAGGTCTTGATAAACCTTTCAGGGCCTACAATTGTGCAGGCAAATAACGATTGCTCATGTATCATTTTACCTTTTAACTGCTTTATTACTAAAATATTCTTATCTTTGGAGGCAAGGTTATCTCAAATAATAGCCTCTGTGTTTTCTATTTATGTTTGAGGGTTCATGTGATCAGACACGTATTCACTCTATGAATAAAAATACAAATCATATCGTTTAAAATAACAACATTTGCATTTTAGACTGAAGAACTCTCTATAATTCATATTCCATAGGCAAAGTATATAAAAGATAACAAGTATGGAGGTGCCTTCATCTGGTCTCTGGACCTGGATGATTTTGCTGGACAGTTCTGTGGCGAGGGAAACTATCCTCTCATCAGCTATCTGCGCTCTCTTATGGATTCAGGTAAACAAATATCTCAACATTTCACTATCTCCTTAGGAAGTACTGTACAACCTTCCATAATGTCTTTAATTTAAATGTATTGTTTTTCTTCTTACTAGATTTCCCACCTCCAGTTCCTGAAACCACACTTGCACCAGAGATCGCTACAACCCATCCCGTCGTAGGAAACCAAACAACTTCTGCCACTGCTCCTACAACTCACACTACCAAACCCACCACCACTCCCACCACCACAACTGCCGCTTCTGGAAGTTTTTGTGCCGGCAAGCCCGACGGCCTCTACAGAAATGACAAGAAGCCCGGCACCTTCTATCAGTGCTTCCAGGGAAGAACATTCCTTCAGCATTGCCCAGCTAATCTCATTTTCAGTGAAAGATGTAACTGCTGCGACTGGCCTTAAATGATGCATTAAACAGAAAGGCTTCTTTTATTTGGTTAAATGGTTATTTGGTTCTTTTATTTGGTTAAATGTGTGTATACAAACCTCAGACTGCACAACACTTTACTTGTTATGCTCACTGTGAAGGAACAGGGTAAGCCCTATGAGAAAAAGGTTATACATCAAATGGGGGGTTAACCCTTTCATGTAGTGTTATAGGCTGAAATACCAAAGTTCATGCCAGAGGGAGTTTCTCTCAACACACTCCCCCCCTTGCCTGAATCTCTGTGTGAACTCCTTTGTTTTTCTTCCGTCACATTATTAAGTAACACTCGTGCTTCTATTGGCAAGTGCTCCGAATGTGATGGGCTAAGAATATCTCTAAGCGGTTACAACAGAGCCAGCTAGCTAACCAATCAGAGCAAAAGAGGAGCTGCAGCACAGGAAAGTATGAGAAAAATAAAGCCCTTTTACACATTAAAGCATGTAAATATGTCACAGTAATAGCACAAAATACAAATATGAACCTGACAATAAGCATAATATGTCTTCTTTAAAGTATTTAAAGAGATAAAGATGGGTAAAAAAATCAACAAGTGACAAAAAGTTAACTCTAGTTAAATGAACTTCAAATCAAAATAAATTGCCTTAATCTCCAATTCCAATATGATGCTGCCCTAAGTCAATGGCAGGGGAAAGAAGACATGCCTCTTCTTTAGGTGTGGCTTTCCATTTATCCATGTGTATGTACTTAGGCTGGTAGGATTCAGCATCATGGACTGTATTTACTATATATCGCTTTATTCAGTCTTTACGGCTCTTCAAAGCCCTTCAAAGTCAGCATTCACACATTCACACACATTCTTAAAGAGGATGCAGGGGCAAAGTGTCTGAGTGTCTTATTTTGTGATGTCAAATAAAATAACATAACCTTTAATATGCCTGGTGAAAGCTTTGGCTGGTAGTAACAGCTGCCACAGATAGCATATTAGGTATTTATTTGAAGTAAATGCTCTCCAAATAATATGGAAACCAATTTGTTGACATGATTATCTTACCATTGCAGTCTACTTTCTACTGCATTGTACATTGAGACACAGAATTGGCTTTTAAACGCCTCTCTGTTTGTACAAAGGAGGATTCATTTTCCAGCAGGAAACTGAATGTTAAGCCCCATTAAAAAAAAATCACAACATCTGCAAGAAACAGCGTCTGAGCCTCTGAGGGCTTCTTAACATTTAAAAACCTATTAATGTGTCATACCCACTTAACGGGAAGAAACTCAGCTATCAGACAATATTAACCATTTTTAGCAAAACGAAACATAAGGGTAATAACAAAGGCTCTGAATTAGCCCTGAGCGAAAACACACTAAGCACAGAACTCACGTTACAATACCCTTATTACTTATCGTATCTGCACAAACATGATATCGATTAGCAAGCTGAGATTGCACAGATTCGACAGGTATTAGTATCATTACTGACCGATCCGAACTCGCGACATGAGAACCTAACAAAGACATCACACCACGTAGCATTAGGTAGCCAACACGGCAATATGTCTTACCTTTGTTGTTTTCTGATCAAAAGTTGTCTTTAATGGTATTAAAACGATAAAAACACTGCTGAAGGTTAATCCATAGGTTCTATTTCGTATATGGCTTCGCCCTCTAAGGCTATCGCTATTGGGTAATCCCCCTGCGCACCCGCACAGCACTGAAACACTTGTAGTCCACGCCCGCCCGCAAGGTGGGCCCCACCCTCGGGCTCCCTTCCGGTATAAATAGGAAGGAGGCCCGACAATCTGCTCCCTCTTTTCTTCAGCACCCCGTTACTGAAGCACAAGAGACACTTCAAATTGCAGAGTAAACATGGGTGACAATTGTGTGAGAGATTGTCCCTCATGTGGCTCTGGGTTCATAATGAGTTATGACTAGCACACAGTGTGTGAGTCCTGCCTGGATTCACATGCTGTGTGCCCTCCTCGGCCGGGGGGAGACGGGCACAGTGGGTGCATGCACCTGCTGTGCCCGTCTCCCCTCGGGCGACAGGAAGCGGAGAGCGGACGCTCTCGCTGCTGCGGCCGAGGAGGACGATTGGCCCATCCGGGCTTACGAGCCCGCAGACGGGGGCCTCGTGTCCCTGGGGCCGAGTGCCGGGCAGGAGTCGTCCGACTCCTGCCCCGCCTCCCTCCACGGTTCACCGTTCAGTTCTGCCGAGGCAACCGCCTCGGCGTCAGGCTCGCCCTTCTGCGGTTGCGGGGGCTCCGTAAAGCCCACGTCTCCGCTCCTCCGCCACCCCATAGACAGGGTCTCCCGGCGGCGAGTCAAAGGGGAGTGAGGCTCCCCCACTCCTGGTCTGCTCAACGAGAGCCTCCGAGGAAGCAGAGCCGGTTCTGACGTTCTGGGGGGTGCTGCCTATAACCTATCGGTTAGTAGGGGCTCGTTGCAAAAGCAGAGTTCGCTAATTACGCCGGCTGCCACTAATCTGTTGATTAGTAGACAGCAAGGCTCGCTGCAGGAGCCTGTCGGTTTTAACCTATCGGTTAATAAACTGCAGAGCACGCAGCATTCCTCTGTCCGAGATACGTCTCCTACACACGGTCATAATAAACCCATGAGCGCCGTTGTAACGCCTCATGTGAACAGCACTGCATACACCTCCACTCATCCCCTGAGCGCGTACGCCTCATGATGAGAGCCGGAGTGACACGCAGCGTGTGGAGGCTCCCTCACAGCCCTTTCGCTCCAGGCCCACCTTGGGTTGCCTCACGGGCAGCGGCGGCGAGGGCTCTGACGTGGCTCGTCGCCATGACGACCACAACACATCTTGAGCATGTGCGCCCGCTCTCAGAGTGTTTCTCAGAGTGGCAGCGCGTGTGTCTGATGGACAGATGGACGAGCAGGCTGGCTGATCAGCAGAGGGTGCACCCTGCAGTTTGCCTCTCCCCCCCCCCCACAGTTCAATGGGATACAGGAAACACTCCTGCCATGACAACCACGACAACCACGACACATCTCGAGCATGTGCGCTCGCTCTCAGAGTGTGTGTGTGATGGACAGATGGATGAGCAGGCTGATCAGCAGAGGATACACCCTGCAGTTCGCCTCTCCCTCCCTCCCTCCCGCCCCCCACAGGAAATTCCTGCGTTTCTCTTTTCAGGGAATATCAGACCAGACAATCGTCTGCTGTTTGGATGTTCCCTGGCTCCTCGCATTTTTTGTGTAGAGAAGGCTGGAGCCACTACACAGAGGAGGGATGAGAGTGAGGTTTTTCTCTGGACGACCTGCTATTTGCTGGCTCGCTCCAGGGAGGAAGTCGCTTTACAGACGTTACATCTCGTATCGCATCTGTCAAAGCCTGGGTTTCATAATGAATTTGGAGAAGAGCTGCCCTCTCCCCTCTCAGACATTCATTTATCTGGGAGTGGAATTAAACTCAGCCAGCAGAGCGCGGCTCTTGCGGCAGCGAGTGGAGGAACTGCAGCTCTCCTCCGGCGTGTCACAAACCCGCACAGCCCTCTCCTTGAAGCAGCTGCTCGGCATTGGCGTCAGCTGGTCACGTGGTGATCCCCATGGGTCTCCCCCACAGGAGGAGACTCCAGAGGTGGGTCATTCGCTGCAGAAGCCTGCTGTTTTAACCTATTGGTTTATAAACTGCATAGCTCGCGGCATTCCTCAGGAGGGATGAGAGTGCTGTTTTACCTGGACGACCTGCTATTGCTGGCTCGCTCCAGAGAGGAAGTTGCTTTACAGACGGTACAGCTCGTATCACATCTGTCAAAGCTGGGTTTCATAATAAACTGGAAGAAGAGCTGCCCTCTTCCCTCCCAGAGTATTATTTACCTGGGTGTGGAATTGAACTCAGCCCGCATGAGAGCGCGACTCTCACAGCAGAGAGTGGAGGCACTGACAGCTCTTCTCCGACGCGTCACACCTCGCAGCGTGGTGACAGCCCTCTCCGTGATGCAGCTGCTTGGCATGATGGCAGCTGGTCACGTGGTGATTCCCCTGGGTCTCCTTCACATGGGGAGACTCCAGAGGTGGTTTATTCGCCTGCGCATCGACCCCGTGCGACAGAAGAGGCGCATGGTGGCCATCCCTCCTTCCGTGGGTTCAGACTTAACCTATTGGAAAAGTCCCCACGTCCTGTCAGCGGGTGTGCCCCTGGGCAGAGTTACGTCACACATCTCGGTGTTCACAGACGCATCTCTCTCAGGGTGGGGAGGAACGTGTATGTCACAGGCAGTGGGGGGACAGTGGCCGGCTCACATGTCCCTCCACATAAACGTGCTGGAATTGCTCTCCGTACGGAGATTAATCCAGTATTTTGCCCCGTTGCTGCGGAATCAGCATGTGTTGATTCGCACAGACAACAAAGCCGCGGCAGCCTACATCAATCGCCAGGGCGGAGTACGCTCAGCGCAGCTTCTGAACACAGCCAGGCCGCTGTTGATCTGGGCGCGCGCACACTTGCTCTCCATCAGAGCAATGTATGTTCCCGGCGAACTGAACAAAGGGGCAGACCTCATGTCCAGAGGAGGTCCTCGCCAGGGGGACTGGAGCCTCCATCCCAAGCTGGTCTCCCAGGTATGGAGCCGGTTCGGGAGAGCAGAGGTGGATCTGTTCTCCGCACGTGGGAACGCGCAATGCGCCCTCTGGTTCTCCCTGAAAGCGCAGGACCACCCCCCCCTGGGGGTGGACGCGTTCGCACATCGACCATGGCCCAGGGGACTGTTGTATGCTTTCCCACCAGTCCCGCTGATCCCTCGGTTCCTGGACCTAGTGCAGGAGGAGCGACTGTCAGTGATCCTAATTGCCCCGGAGCGCACGGGCGCTTCCTGGTTTCCATGCCTACAGCGTACGCTGTCAGGCAGACCTTGGGAAATTCCGTGGCGCGGGGACGCTCTCTCGCAGGTGGAGGGAGCGATCAACAGTCACCCTGTGATAGGCCAGCACTTATGGGCATGGCCCCTGAACGGGAACACTTAGAGGGGCTGAGCCTCTCTCAAGATGTTGTACGGACCATTCAGGGAGCCAGGGCCGCGTCTACCAGAGCGTCCTAC